TCAGTCAGTCAGATGCAACGTAGAACTTTGTACATAAGTACATCAGTTCATGTTGCCATACCACATCAGCACAGAGAAGTGATCGTCAATTCAAATCCAATAGTAGAAGAGGAAGTAAGGGAATTAGAAATAATCGGAGAGGTTAGGATTAGAAGATACTACTCAAGAAGTATGATTCAGTGAAAAAAGTTTAGAGAGTCGAAACTAGAGGGGTTGAAGAATCCAGAAGATTAGCATTTGAGAGAACACAGAGAATAAATGCACTGGCGCCATTGCGAACGATTTCGAGCCATGTCATTCAAGGTCTCTAACCATCGATTATTATCATCTCGCGGACCCCAACCAGGTAGTCGACAATTACCGACATGGCTCAGTCCACTAGTCAATGACTTCATGGATTTCTGCCATGTTTTGGTTTGGCCGCCCCTAACTTTCTTCCAACCTACTCCTACACTACAAAACAAAGCTCGTCGAGGCAGTCGGTGGTTGGGCATACGCAACACGTCCCAACCACCTCAACTGGTAAAGTTTCAATACTTCATCGATTGATCTGCCATTCTTACCTAGCACCCGATTCCTAATAACAGCGTTGCTCACTCGGGTGTCCCACGATATACGAGCAATGCTTCGAAGACACCTATGATCGAAAACCAGTAACCTACGAATATCTTCTACTCTGACTGGCCATGTTTCACAGCCATAAAGTAAGACGGAGCGAACTACTGCGCAGTACACTCGTCCTTTAGTCAGCAAACGGATATCTCGCCTACGCCATAAGTGACGCAGGTTGGCAAAAGCCAATCGAGCCTTCTGTATCCGAGCTGAGATTTTGTCAGTCACCAGGCCGTCAGCACTGATGAGACTCCCAAGATAAGTGAAGCGGTCTATCCGTTCAACCACTTCACTCCCTATCACTAGTTCAGGTGCCAATGCAACCCAGTCTTGAAGCAACATTTTGCATTTCGAGGGGGGAAACCGCATCCCGAACATGCTTGCATTGTTGCTTAGGGTAGTCAGAAGACTCTGCATTTTGTCAGCGTCTTCACCAAGTAGGACAATGTCATCGGCATATTCTAAGTCAATAAGCGAGCCACCTGGAAGAAGGTCTACTCCTGAAAATTCAGATGAGTATAATGTTAACGCTAGGAGCATGTCTATGATAAAATTAAACAAGAATGGAGAATACACTTCATGTCTTCATATTTAGTTAAAATAAGAAGACATGAAGTGTATTCTACAAGCATCCAGAAAGCACGAGGTTCGAATCCAGAAGAGAATCAGGATCCCGGACTAGGGATCCGGGACCGAGCCCTGGTCCTGGTCGTGGTCAATAAACGTTACAGATAATGCGTATTTATACATTTTGGTCGAATAGGAAACAGCATCGAAGTCTGTGACATTGATAGTTAAGACGACCAATAGGAAGTAAGATTTGAAGTGACATTGATAGTCAGGACAACCAATAAGAAACAACATTGAGGTATTTGACTTTGACAGTTATAACGACCATAATTTTGACCAATAGAAACCGACCAATAGGGTTTGACCAATAATTATCTTAAGATATTGGATGAATATCCTGACACACTGGGCCAGCATCCAATGGTGCTAATGTCTAACTCTGAACAATCTAGAAATTTTGCACAATCTCACCTATTTGTGTTAGATCGTATGTTGATTATTTCTGATCAGTTAATTAATTAATTAATTTAAAAATCTTTTTCAACTTCATACATTTCTGTCTATGAAAAAAATTGTCATATCAGAATATATTCAGTTTTTTATTTATCTTTTTAAATAGTTTTTAGGTGATATTGGTCAAGTGGATCAATTATGCATTGCAGGAAAACATCACAATTATCTCATTTTAGCTGATGCATCACCCCACCTGAAAATTTTCCTCAATCCATATGGACTTAGTTCAGAGGAAAGGCATCCAATTCAAGATATTGTTAATGATAAACCAAAAGGTTCATGGAAATGTCATCTTATACCTGGTGGTCATACTGATGTAATTATGGATTTAACTGTATCCACATGTGGTTTATGGATTGCAAGTGGTTCTAAAGATCAATCTATTTGTTTGTGGCATTTAATTGAAGCAGCAGATTCAACACCATCTTCAGCATCAGCATCGTCTAAAATCATTCCTGTCAAAGTGGATTTGATTACTCAAATTCATAAAGCTCATGCTGCACATATCAGTTCTGTTTGTTTTGATAAGTAAGTTAAACCACAATCTATGAACAATTTTAATCGCATTCTCTTAGTAAAACCAAATAAACTGTTTTATTTATTTTAGAAAAACTGTGTCCAGTGTGCTAGTAATAATATACTTGAAATACTACTAATTGGCAATTAATAGTAGTTAGACTGAAATATTTAAAATACAATGAAATAACTGAATGATATATTCTGAGTATGTTTTGCTAACCTTCTAAAAGGGTATCCTAGGTGACGCCTACTACTTAGCCCCATGATATGCTTGAAACTATTACAAATTCACCTTACTCGCTAAACGAGAGCGAAGACAAATGATGCAGTAGCACGATAGGCTATTCAGATTTGATTGTCCCCAGCCGTGCTAACTATAGCAAGCAGTTTTGATATGGAGTAGAAACTGTGTATTCTACAAGCACCCAAAAAACATAAGGTCGACAAGCACACAAATCGAGCTTATTTATACATGATAGAAACGTTCTTGGGAGAGCCACAAAAGTAGCGTACTAAAATGATGCGTCAACCAATGACAGCCAAGGATTTTCCGATTGGGTAATGTAATTTCAAGGTCAACTGAACAGCTTATGCGCGAAAACACAAAATATCCAAAATTAGGACATTTTCCAAGTGAGTTCTGAGAATATAACTTCTTTAACACCCCAGCATACCTTAATGCGACTAAAAGTGAACAGTCCACTCTCTCTCTCTCTCTCTCTCTCTTGAAATGCTCTCATATGGCCATACGTGTATAGCCACTGACAGAGAAATCCTACTCGCTGCCTATTTGTGCCCAGGGTGTTTATGAAATGAAGGGGATGGAAATCGTATGTCCGGGACTTTGACCGGGTTGGTGGACGACCTACTTAGGGGATTCGGAATACTGCAATTGGTCTCTGGGATATTAAGGCAACAAACAGCATGTGAATCTTTCATTGCTTACCGAATATTATAGGGCAACATCTCCTCACGTTGTGAACTAGACCTGTAGATCAAAGGTTGGGGAAATAACCGGGAAAGAAAATCATCTACTTCGGATTAGGCACCTGTATCAGTATCCCATATCAATTGTATACAAGCTATATCTCATACCACATCAGCATAGAGATATAATTGTCAATTCAAATCCAATAGTAGTAGGAGAGGTTAGGGTTAGAAGATACTATTCCACACGTACGCTTCAATGAGATAAGGTTAGAAAGCGAGAACACAAAGAATAAATGCACCGGCACCATTGCGCGATTTTGAGCCATGTCATTCAAGGTCTCTAACCATCGATTATTATCATCTCACGGATCCCAACCAGGTAGTCGACAATTAGCGACATGGCTCAGTCCACTAGTCAATGACTTCATGGATTTCCGCTATGTTTTGGTCTGGCCGCCACTAACTTTCCCAAACACCTCAACTGATGAAGTTTCACCACTTCATCGATTGAAACGACAGCATTGCTCACTCGGTTGTCCCACGATATACGAGCAATGCTTCGAAGACACCTATGATCAAAAACCAGTAACCTACGAATATCACTCGTCCTTTGATTAGAGAACGGATATCACGCCTACGCCATAAGTGACGCAGGTTGGCAAAAGCCAATCGAGCCTTCTGTATCTGTGCCGAGATTTCGTCAGTCATCAGGCCATCAGCACTGATCAGACTCCCGAGATAAGTGAAGCGGTCTACACGTTCGACCACTCCACTCCCTATCACTAGTTCAGGTGCCGATAAAACCCAATCTTGAAGCAACATTTTGCATTTCGAGGGGGAAAACCACATCCCGAACATGCTTGCATTGTTACTTAGGGTAGTCAGAAGAAGCTATATCTTCTGTATTCATATTAAGTTACTGTCAACTATCCCCGGAGCTTCAAGTGTCATGAATGCATTAAGCCGTTGAAACGTAAGTATTACGTAAATATAATTAGTTTTCTACCAATTCTGAAGGTTTGTTAAAGCTGTAAATCTTTGAATAGTTAAGAATTTGGCAGCAGTTATTGAAAGAAAGTAAAAATACTTTTGCTTAATTTACACATAAAATATACACCTTTTCATATACATGTATTCTATACTTATTTTGTACTTATACAGATTAACAACACATCTTATATCTAGTTCAGAAGATGGTATTTTAAAAGTTTGGAATGTTCAATGTGATAATTTAAACAAACCAGATAGTATGTTATCAGAATTAAATACAATTCATGGTGCTCATAATGGAGTAATTAATTCCATTGATGTTTCCATTGATAATCGTCTTGTGGCTACGGCTTCACGTGATAAAACTGTGAAGGTAATGAACACTGGTGATTGTATTTGCCTTTTTACAAGTAACTGACAGTTTATGTTGAGTTGTTATTAGTGTTACATTTCGTATTATGAATTTAATAATGATAATAATAACAATAGTAATAATGTGTTGACCGCCTCACTTATCTCTGGAGTCTCATCAGTGCCGATGGCCTGGTGTCTGACGAAATTTCAGCTCGGATACAGAAAGCTCAATTGGCTTTTGCCAACTTGCGTCACCTATGACGAAGGCGAGATATCCGTTTGCTGACTAAATGACGAGTGTACTGTGCAGAAGTTCGCTCCGTCCTACTATACGGCTGTGAAACATGGCCAGTGAGAGTAGAAGATATTCTTAGATTACTGGTTTTCGATCATAGATGTCTCCGAATCATTGCTCGTGTATCGTGGGACAGCCGAGTAAGCAACGCTGTTGTTATGAAATTGGTACTAGGTAAGGATGGCAGATCAATTGGTGGAGTTTTGAAACTTCATCAGCTGAAGTGGTTGGGACGCATAGTACACATGCCTAACTACCAACTGCCTCGACGAGCTATGTTTTGTGGTGTACGAGTAGGCGGTCAGACCAAAACGTGGCAGAAATCCATGAAGTCACTGACAAGTGATCTGAGTTATGTTGGTAGATGTAGGCTACCTGGATGGGGTCGGCGAGATGCTAGTAATCGATGGTCAGAGACCCTAAATGACATTTCTGAAAACCGTTTGCAATGGTTTAGGTGCATTTACTCTTTGTGTTCTGTGAAATTCTATCCTTCTGAATTCTTCATCACCTTTATCTTTCTCTTTCTAAATTTCCTCACTGAATTATACTTCTTGAATAACATCTTCGAACCCTAATCTCTCCGATTACTTCTAATACTTTTACTACCTCTACTACTATAGCATTTGAATTGATAATTATATCTCTGTGCTAATGTGGTATGGCAAATTGAACTGCTGTACTTAAGTGCAAAGTTCTACGTGGCTGTTGATGATGCTGTATTATGAATTTCACATGCTCTTATTCATAATACGGTACTTTTATTAAAATCTATTTAACTAATTAACCTAGCCAATATTTTCTGAATAGTGCTTGTTTAGCGAGTTAGTTTTCCACAGAATGGGGTCGCCAACCTGAAGCCCAAACCTCTTCCTTTATCTGAGCTTGGTACCGGCAGTAGCCCAAGAGGGACTTCAGGCGAAGTTGATTGTTTTTTTCGGACAGAGTTTTTGGAGGTTTGTGTTTTTACACATTTGAAATCATCAATCAATCATTGTAAGACCACCATCAGAAACCTGTAAGCACTGGACGGCCGTTTCGTCCTGGTATGGGACTCATCAGTGACAGTGCACATACACGACTCCTGCACCTCGTAGGATTCGAACTGGGGACCTTCGGTATTGTGCGCGAACGCCTAACCATCGTACCACTGGGCCGGCATCCAACGGTGTATTTGTATTTTCTTTTATACAACTAACTGACTGTTTATGTTCAGTTGTTATTAGTGTTATTGTGAGTTTTACATACTCCTATTCATAATGCTGTATTTTAATGTCTTTTTAACCCTAACCAATCATTTCACTAGTTCTTTTCATTCAATTTTATTTAGATATGGGAATTTAAAAAACAAACTTTACATTGTCAAGGTGTTCTACAAGGTCATCGTAGAGGTGTTTGGTCGGTTTGTTTTTCAAAATTTGAAAAAGTAAGACCTAATCACCTTTTTTTTAATATCTTGTTTTATCGATTGATTAAGGAAAATAAAACATAAAAATACAGTCAACCTGAGTGGCAAATTCATGTAAATCCTCTGACTCTGAATGAGCTTGAAAAAGCTATGGGCAATGGAAAACGAAGGGCAGCAACAGAATCTGATGGATTAACTCCAGGAATTTTTAAGGATGGTGGTCCAGTTTTATCAGTGAGAGTGATTCAGCAGATCTTAGTAACTGGTCTCAATCACTGATTTTCCCAGTCCTATAAAAAAGGACGAAAGTCCTCTTGTGAGAGTCATAGAAGAGTCAGTTTAACTAATATTGTGTCCTAGATATTAGCTTCAACAATACTTCGAGGCCTAACTATAGCTCGTGAAGAGCAATCTCGAGAAAACCAGACTTGTTTCAGATCTGGAAGTGGATGTATAGGCTAGACATTCTCACTCCATCATGTTCTGGAACGTAGACACACATTCAGACGTCCAACAGTAACTATATTCCTTAACTTTAAGGCGATTTTCGTTTTTGTTAGTTGTCAAGTTCTGTGGCATTGTCTGTAATTAAAAGGTGTACTGAATGAGTACATTAACTTTGTACAGGCTATTCACTCGTACACTACTAGTCAAGTCAGAACTTACGATGAACTCTCATCAGAATTAATTACTGAAAGTGTTGTCTACTTTCGCCATTCACATTCAAATTTGTCATCGGCATGCTTTTAAGGACGACACTTTTCAGGTGTTGACTTCCTACCAGGAGATTAATTTGTTGACTTTGAATAAGCAGATGTTGTATTTATGTTTGGTGAAGACTCTGACGAATTGCAAAGTTTTCTAACCACATTAAGCAACAACGAAAGTATGTTCGGGATGCGATTCTCTCCCTCCAATGATGCAAGCTGAAATTG